TTTTGTTGGTCATAGGCAAATGATTATTTTTTGTAATGTTGTGTACTCGTACAAAAGTGTGTTTTGCCTTCTTTTTTGTATTAATGTTCCTTGTTAATTTTTCTTGTAGACAATTATTTTATGGAATAAATCAAAGACTGATGATGAATTGATATGAGAAAAAGATAAATCAGAAAATAAAGATTCAAAATGATAATCTATTGGAAATATTGTTTGTAAAGAGTATCAAAGTTCTAATAGAAAATAAAAAGTCATTTTTAAACTTTTCTGAAAGTAGTGCAAAGATAAGGAGAAAAACTATGAAATTTCACTACCGTTTAAAAAACTAATTTCAAAGACAAAAGAAGAAATCGAAAGACAATTTTGAACTCTTAAGATTTTGATCATGAAAAACAAAAACAAATCAATATGGTTATCTTTTACACTTTTTCTCAACAATGATCATTGTTGAATAGATTTATATATCAACTTTCGAATTCGAATTTATTTTATTTTATTTCTCAAACAAATGCTATTCAAACGAACGACACACAATAATCAAATAGAAACCTTTTAGAAAGACCATAGTGACATGCTTCGTCCGTTCATTTCTCATTTCATGTCAACACCACCAGCGGATTAAGATTTGATCTTTTTTTACCCTTTAATTATTTTTTTTTCTTTTCTCTCACATTAATTAACTGATAGGCATATTCGTCTATATTTGAATAAATAAATCGGTCAACTATGAATTGCTCTTCCAAAAAATGTCATCTCTAATCGTACATAAAGTCATCATTTTCTATGTAGCCAACCATGATTGTTCTCTATAGTCAATTGCATGAATTATTTCTAGGTATAGTTAAATTACCCTTTCTGTTGAAAATGTCACAGTTTTTCAACTACAGGTAAAAATAAATCATTCTATTGATCTATGTTCTCTTCATTTTTTCTTTTCTACATGCATTGAATTATTGTTGTCTTGATACAGAAAGAATAATGTATTGCATGAATCAGACAATTTTCTTTCCTCCTTCTTTTTAGCCTATCAAATGACTCTAGAATTCAATACAGAGAAACTCTCCTTATTAAAACACAAACTATACCGTAAAACTCTTTTTATGACAATAGGTGTTCGTCATCTAAACATGTATTGGTTACTTTATCAGTAGGCATCATCCCATTGTATTTTCAATAAGACAGAGTTTCTCTGTTTGCGCTTGCGCATATCTCTTCAAATAAGAGCAAAAGGAAAATACTCTTCTCTTCATTACATCTATTCCTTCGAATAAAACAAAAAGAAGTAATATATTCTCTTTTTCACATATTCGAGATTTTGAAGCATAGTAATACAAGATGAGGAAGATTTTCAGGAACTGAACGATGCAAAATACTCAATGCATCTTCAAAGAGTTAAAGTGCATTCGAATAGTCACGCATGTTGCTATACAACGAATCAATGTTGCCGTAACAAGTAGTCAAATCAGGATGATTTAGAGGAAGAGTTTTTTGGTGAATTTCCAGTGCTTTTTGATGTGATGAATTGTACATTCGAATAGTGACCCATCTCGTCATGGGCAGAACAAATATCACTGTAAGAAGCAGCCAAAGTGGAATTCACTGGTGAGCGAATTTTCTGTTTGATTTCAATCGATTGTTTATAACAGGCAATGGCATTTGAGTAGTCACTTTGGTTCTCTTTGACGACACCGAGCAAAAGGTAGATTGATGCTTTTTCCTGATCAGTCATTGTTTGATTAAGCAAGATTTCATGCACGTCTTTGGGTTTGTTGAACTGCGCAAGTTTAATTAGCGAGCGCATCTGTTCAGTAGATGCATAGAGTTTTCCATCGTTGTCACTGGTCAACGTTAAATCGACTTGGCAAAGATGATTATCTTCATCGATTGGTTTCGTTAGTCTAATGCAAACGATAGAATCCATAGAGAAAAGAATTTCCTCTTCTCCTTTGAAATAACTGACGTCATCGATGTTTACGAAAGCAGTAGTCGATATTGATGGATTGGTAGGTTTTTCAAAGAGAACACCTATCAGATTGTGATCATACCGTGAGCAAAAGCAAGAGATACTTCTCGACAAAAAGAATTGTTAAATGATAGCTGGTGTCTTGACTAATTTATCAAAATTCGTTTGTGATAATCTTTGACTGCGATAAACAGTAAGTGAGTTTCAAGACGAACATCCAAAGAACTATTGAGCATGAAGCTCAGCGATATTGCTGTGAAGATCTTGAACAAAAAAATCTCATGCTAATTATGAGATTAACCTCCATCATTCGTAATGATCGATCGAGCATCGAAAACGAAAAACATTGATTGATATATCACCAAATTGGGAGATGCATATGGTATTCTTGTTCGAGCTTGTCGACAGTTTTCAGTTCGTTAGCACCATCCTCAAAAAGTTGACGACAATACGAAATAAATTCATCGAAACGTTTTTTTTTTTGGAACTCAATGATTAAAAAAATTTCTTTTAATATTTGTGTGTACATAAACTGTTGATCTAATTCATGTAGATTTTGTCTGTGACTTTCACTATTAGTGGCAACAAAACTAATGACGACCAAATTTTGATCATATCTATATGCGGCTTATTAAACTTTTTTACAGATTGAGGCAATATCTGTAACTATGCCGTTTGTTTGTGGCCATTGTTTGGTCCAACCGTCATGCTGAGCATAGTTCTCACTCCAAATATAAATTGTACTGATTTGTGGAATGTCATGGGAGATATGAACAGTTGTTTGCTTCAATGCACCAGAAACGATTAGAAATTATTTTTTTTCTTGAATATCGGTTATCAAATCGATGCATTCGTACACATTAGTGAATAGATATATTCTGTTCATCACTTCTTTTAACACGTTGATGGCATCGATGTAATTGTCGTTGTTTATATCATCGATATTGGCATTAAGCTACATCAGTATGAAATTCTGAAACATACGAGCACAATGAGGCCATCATGGCTTTAGACTCGTATATTCAGTTTTCGTGCCAGCAGTGGAAGCATCTGTTGTTGCTGTCGATATTTTTTTGTATCCATGGTGTGCGTGTTGTTTTATCAATGAGAGAAAATAAAATAAAATGACTTGAATTTACATAGTATGTCGCGTGTTTTTCTTTCTAGATGTTTCTATTTGTTTTCGATGGTTGTTGTCATCGAAGTTGGTTTTTTCCTTTTCGTTTCACTTGAGTGTTTTATACCTATCTTCTGTTTGTGATTTTTTTTAGTTTTACAAGGCAACGAACGAATGAAAAAATTAATTATTTACAGCATGGTTTGATATACTGTGTCACATTTCACTTCACTTCTATGATGTTTGCACGTTTTCTCTCACATTCTCGTTACGTTGCTGTAACTCTAGCTAAAATCTTTAATGTTTCTACATTAGATTCTTGATAGATCCAATAATGATTCTGTAAGTACTTATTATTTTTTTTAAATTTAGCGTCAACAAGATCATATTTTATTTTGTTTTAACTATTATAGCACAAAAATTTTATGTGACTAAAAATAGATTCACAAAAGGCATTTGAGATAGGTATAGAAAAAGCAAATTAAACAAATTTTTGTAAATGAGACACACTCTCACGGTTAAGAAGATAAGTGCTAAAAGTCGAGATGAAAACAAAACAGAAGAAACAAGGAGAAAATCTTTGGAAACAACTCCTGACACCAGGAGATTTTTTCATCAGGAAAAAGAATCAAGAATTAGGATTCTTCTGGATAAATTAAATGGTTTGGTAACGCTATCTAAAACTATCCATGTCAATCTTTTAGGAACTCATCATTTAATAAATGATTAACTACATAAATTCAAATTAAAAGCGAAACTTGCTGAGGTGACTCTGATTGTTATAAATATATGGTATATTGTCAGATGAGTTAAAATAATTAATTTAAAAAAAAAAATTCAATTCAATGAATAAATCAAAATTATAAGAATTTTTATATTTAATATGTGCGCTCTCAAATTTTATCATTTCGAAAATGTTTGCATTTAGAATTACTATTCTTCTAATTTACTTGATTCATTTAATATCGTTATGTTAAAAACATCTTATATGTATTACCAGATACATCTCTAATACATAACTTTTTTTCTGCTAATGGTAATATACATGATAAATATCTTAGGACATGGCAAATATATTTTTATTTTTCGTTTTGTCGGTTCAACCGCCAAAGTTCATACTTTTCTATGTCCGTTCTATTCTGATTCTGCTAGACTAATAAAAATCACCGTCCTATTGATTTATACCTACGATAAGATCGTTTTGCTGCATTAAATATCAAAATCCACAATAGTTAGACTAGTTAGAATCTATGGTAGGAATCTTAGGTTTACAGAGTGCTGTAGAGGATTCTAAAAAGTTTCAGAATGGTCTTTAACACTGCTATGACTCATGCGCCTTTTCTCATTGCTAGGAAAACATATCCAATGATCTCTGACTTTTCTCCTCTCGCCTTCAGCGCTACTAAGGCCTAAGGAAAGAGTCTTACAAAGCTCGATTTAAACTTATATTCGAAAATATAGGTGAATTTCACAAAGAAGAACAGTGAACATCTGCATTAAAATAAGATAATTCTGAAAGCTATAATCATGTACTTGTTTTTTTTTGTTAGCAATGAGTAATTTTTGTACAAGACTGTCATTGAATAAAATCTAACAATACTCACGAAAAATTCATATGAATTATATTTAAAATAGCTATCTACATAGAAAAGAGCGGCACGAATATGATTGGTGATTATCTAACAAATAAATAATCGTGGTAATAGCATAGAAAAAACAACAAACCAAAGGTGGTCTTTAGAATGCGAAACAATATATTCATATTACATTTGGTATAGACTACAAATCAATATTAAATAAACACTGTTTGTATTCATAATCTTCGGTTTTGTATCAATTTTTGATAAAAATTCTTTAATTTTTCCTGTAAACACTTAATGAAATATGAATATAGTTTTTCCTATTAAATTAATCTAAGAAATGTCATTAACAAGTTTATCTGAAGTTGTCCCAAATCGAGCAAATGTTTTACTTTCACCAGAACGATTTGTACTTGAAGTTCCACGTGGTTTATATCATTCAATGGCAATAATATTACTTATTGTTTGGTATATTTCATCAGCTGCAACAATATTTTCAAATAAATATATATTAAGTCATTTAGATGGTGATGCTTTTTCATTAGGTATTGAAATAGAAAAATAAAAATATTATTTTTTTTTCTTTTAATTAAAATTTCTTTTATTTGTTTATTTGTTTATTTTTGAATAAAGGTGCAAATCAACTTGTTATATCTGTAATAAGTGGTTATATTCAAATACAATTTATAAATAAATTTCATAATCAATTAGATAAAAATCCAATTATTATGAAAAATATATTTCGTGATATGATGTTTATTGGTGCATTTCGTTCTGTGACTGTTATGTTAGGTTTAGTTGCATTGAAATATATAGCTGTATCATTTGTAGCAACAATCAAATCATCTTCACCATTATTTACTGTTATTATAAGTCGAATTATACTTGGAGAAAAAACAAGTAAAGAATACTTTTTTTGTTTCAATATTTATTAAATATAAAATGTAAAATATTTTTTATTTTAGGTAATTGGACAAAATTTTCAATGGTACCAATAACACTTGGTCTTTGTTTATGTAGTTCATTTGAATTAAGTTTTAATTTATTTGGATTTTTATGTGCATTAGGCACAAATATATTTGATTGGTAAGATTTTATTTTTGAATTTTATGAAATATAAATTAAAAACAAGAAATGTTGAAATATAAGGCCAGATTATGAGATCTTTCTCTCATAAATTGTAATAGACACTGCAGACGTAATTTATTATAGATTGTGACTGGAGTAGACATCGACGTGATCGCCGTGAATCACGATCGTGACCTTTTTTTGAAAAAAGGTCGTGACCGTGATCAAAACCTGGTCACGGCCAGTCACCATATATTTTCAGTATAGCTCTATGACAACTATTTTCAAACTTCGTCAGAGAATTAAATATTATATTTAGTATTCTTTTAATATGTATCAATATCCTTTTCTAATTGAGATAACTCAAAACGAAGAAATAGAATCAATGCAATCACAATACCAGAAAAAATATACCCAATATTAATATACTTTAAACAATTTGCATAGAAATACTTTAGAAAAAAATGTACCATTAAAAAATATTATCGTCTTCTTGAACAAAAATAATGTCATTTTCATATATTGTTGACTCTTTTAACTTGTATCAGATGACCTACTTGATGATTGATCATTTTTCTATTTGTTCTGATTTCGCTCATTTCTATGCAGACTTTGGTCAAATAAAATTTCAAGAACTTTAAGACTTTTTCTCAAAAATATAAATCGATCAATTTTTTTCATACCTAATCTTGCTCGTTTATCTGTTATATTACCTCTCGCTCTTCTACACGAGAAGACCCAATGTTTTCTATTGTGTCCAACCGCAAAAGTTTTTTAGAGGATCTTCTATTGTGTCTCTTTTGTTTTTACAGTTTTTAACTAAAAAGGTTCTTCAGAAAGGCAAAGCGATTTTGAGGCTTTGAGAAGGAATTTCTAGGATTTTGAAAGTCCAAATAAAATGTTGAAAACACTCAGTTAAGGTTTTTAGCTCAAAATTCTGAAAACTAAGCATATTACGGTGTAAACTCAGTAAATGAAGTTGTCATTTTTCGAAAAATTAATCAATTGAATGAGGTCTTATATTAAGGAGCCCCCTCAGAAACCAACTTTGTTATTTTTCGTCCGATTTCAATCAAATTTTCGAAGCATATTAGTCTAGACTAGGATAGATTATGGATGAAATATTCCCCTCAAATCTTCAATAGACTAACGAGTTATAGTCAATTTATTAGACAAAAATATCCTGTACACAGGCAAGATTTTCGCAGTCAGGATACGAGTTAACATGTCGGCGCGGCTTTTAAGTTGCAGAATACCCTTGGAGTTAGATTCTCACAGAGCCCAATTTTTGAAATTTCCTTTGTTTGTTCTTTAAAAAATCTTTTCTGAAAAATTCTCGAATTCATGGTCAAAAAACTCGCTGATAAAAATGAAATACGTAGGTTTTTTATTTTACCAATAGAGAAATTCAAAAATCGGGCTCTGTGAGGATCTAGCCCTAACTGTCTTCTATGCAATAAAAAAATGATCACTTCCCTATTGAGTCATTATGAAAAAAACCCATGCCCGCGTAAACGGTATGCTCGACAAAAAACTGATTTTGAGAAAAAGACTAAATAAGTTTTAGAAATCGATTTTTGCGAAACACACATGAATTATATATCAGTATTCAGGACAGGCTATAAATATGTAATCTTAATCTTAAGTGTTAAGAGTTTCATAGTGATTAATATAAAAAAAAGAACTTTGCGAAATGCTGATTCAAAGAGAAAGCAGTCTAAAAAAACCGTAAAAATTTCTCGAAAAATATGATAGTAGAAGCCAAGTTTTAGACGATAAGTCTGTTAAATCAATTCATTTTGCGATAAGTCATAGATATTCTGAAAGAGGAGACTTCGGTACATCTTTCTATGATAAGATCTCGACTTCGATTTGTCTGCGAAAACTTGGATTTTCTGAGGGGGTTCCCTTAGATCTCGCACATATTTTCTCCAGTGGGGATCTTCTATTGGCGCAGAAGGATATGCTATTTTGAGAAATAGAAAATAGCCGTTCCGATAGAGACTGGTGTGACTACCGTGACCGTAACCTTGACCAAAAAATATTGGTCACGCCGATGTCTAGACTAGAGATATATGGAATCAAGTGTTATTGGTCCTAGTTATGTTCTCGGCAAATCCAATCGGATCCCGCTCTAGAAAAAACTTTTCCATACTCGTTTTTTTTTCTATTTATAAGGGAACCCGTCCGACTGATAATCTCCGCTTGAGTCCATAGGTAGGATTCATAATGCAGATAAAAATTCTTAAAGAATTCGTGCTATTAGGCCCTTTTTTTCGAGTTATGGCTATTTTACGGAACTTTCAGTCTATTGTAGGATATCAAGAGAAAAATCACAACAAGAAGTTTCTACTGGATATTCTTCTTAGCAAAAGCTCTTATGATTCTTATGATATTCTGAAAGTATCAGCTCAAGCGGATGTTTTCCTTCTGAGATAACACATTTATAAAAAAAAAAAACGTTACTTGCACAAAATAGCTTCAAAAATAGTCCAGTTTTTAGGTATACGATATCTTAAGAAAAAATCATTCCTTTGAGCTGAAACTTTCAGGATACCATAAGAGCTATTGTTGGGGAGAATTTTAGATCGAAACTCCTTGTTACGATTTTTCTCGTGATATCTTGTAATAGGCTGAAAGTTCAGTAAAACGGCCATAATTCGAGAAAAAAGCCTAATGACACGAATTCTTTCAAGATTTTTATCTATACTATGAGTTCTATCTTTGAGCAAAATATGAGCTCAAAACGAAGGTTATAGGACAGACGGATTCAATCGTTAGTAGATAACTAGTACTGTTTCGGCTCATTTCGCTTCAATCATATTCAGAAAAATTTGAAACTCTTCGAGCAGATAGATCTTGACGAGTAGAGCAAAAGTTGTCTTAAACTCACAATTCCCAGATGTTGTCTTCTATGAGATACTAAAATTGCAATGGTTCCACTTTTCGCTTCCGTTTCTCCGATATACTATGTTCGATCAAGCTGAAAATATTTTTCCAGACACTACACATTCTTTGGAGTATGTATCCTTTTTGTTTTTCAAATAAAAAAATCCCAACCCTAAAAAACGCATGTTTCTTTACATAGAGCTTATTTTTGTAAGAACTATTAAAAATCACCAGAACAATATTTTTTTTAAACGAAAAAAAGATACCCATCCCAAACAGTGTCTAGTATATATGACAAAAGTTTCAGCTTGATCAGATGTACTAGACTGGAGAAATGGAGATGTTTATACACTTTTCTTTTCAAGAAAAAGTCAATTTGAGAACAATGCGTAATAATGTTTAATTTTCGCTAATTTCTCGAATTTTTTTAACGCTTAGAGATAATTTTTGGATATTAAACTGTACTCAATAGATAGTGCAATGGTCACAAACAAACAATAAAACAATATTGGGTCACAAAAGGAAGAGCGGATACTCTAAAATCGTAGAATATTTAACTATAATCTTCAATTCTGATTGAGACCACTTTTTTCTCGAAGTCTCAATATTGGAAAATTTCCTTTCCCGTGATCCCATACATCTCTAATAGTAACAAACAATGTCTTGAGAATGAAGTTTAATTGTTTATTTTTCTAAACTACGAAAAGAGAAAACCATAAGTTTATAGGTAAACTAAGAAAAGCTCTCGAATAATATTGATTGAGCATTTTCAACTAGTTAATCGCTTTAGAACTTGGACTCGGTGTCTAAGATAGATTCCAGTAAGATATAAAAAATCTCAAAAGGATAAAGTCCCTCATTAAGCCATCTGTCCAGAGTTATAGGCATTTTACTAGAATTTTAGCCTCTTGTATGGTATATACCAATAAATCGAATGACAGTATTTCGACCTGAGATTATCCATAGAGTCTGAATTTAAAAGCGATTGATCTATATACAGTATTGGCTTTAATCGATTTGTTAAATATTTCGTTTTATTAATGATAGAAATTCATTTATGTTTCATATTTTTTATTTCACAATCATTGTGTTAATAGAATGTTTTTATTTTAGTTTACAAAACGTTTATTCAAAAATATTAATTAGTGGTGAACATTATCGTTATTCAGCTACTGAATTACAATTCTGGGCAAGTCTTCTAGCATGTATTTTTCAATTACCTTTACTTGTTTATTATGTTAATATTCCATTAGCATTAAAATTAACTTCTAAAACATTAGTTTTTTTATATATCTTCAATGGATTTGTTTATCATATACAATCAGTAGCTGCTTTTGCTATTATGGCTTATATATCGCCAATAACACATAGGTAAGAAAAAAAAAGATACATAATTTACTTATTTTTTTTTTTGTGCTTATAATTAATTTGCTTTTTTAATTAGTGTTGCAAATACTATTAAACGAGCATTGTTAATATGGATATCAATTATTATATTTCATAATCCGGTGACATTTTTGAGCGGTGCAGGAACATTTATTGTTATTTTTGGAGTTATCATATATAATGAAGGAAGAGATGTAGGGAAAAAAACTGCAATTACAAATATGGATAATACTACAGTGCTTACATGGCGACATGTTTAAATATGAAAAAATAAACATTTCTTAAAATTATTTCAAAGTGATAGTTTATTCAATGGATCAATTTTATCAGCACTAAGTACAACGATATACGCAGAATATATATATATCGTATTGATATTGAATGTTTTTATTTGACATTTTTAATCTTTTATAAATATATATATATGTATGTGTGTAAATTCACTTGTTAAATTAAAACGACACTAAAATATATAAATAAGCGGATAGTGCTTCAAGTATTGAATGTGATATTATTTGAATTTTTATAAAAGAAAGATTATTGCTGGAATTGATTTTCTTTTTTTTTGGATTTGTTTCAATTCTGAAAGAAATCGTTTGATATAATTACCAAAGGTTGACATAGATCAAAACTTTATGTTCAAGTTTGATTCTTATTTGTCTTTTAAAAAGTCTAATATGTTTTAAAAAAGAATGTTTGAAAATTGTTCAATTAATAAGAAAGTGATGATGATTTATTTATTATAAATTTAGTGAATTATTTTTATTTAGCACATTTTACATTACAAATGAAAATTATTTCTCTTTAGAATTTAATATTCGAAAGTTCAATTATAATAAAAATGAGTTTTAATTTTTGTCTAAAGAATAAATGTAAAATGTAACATTGTAATCAAATCATATTTATTCAGTAGTAGTAATAATAAAAATTGATTTATTTGCGATGAATAGTTTTATTGAATAGTACTTTTGTTTTTATTTATTTCATTAGAATAAATTTTGATACACGTTGTATAGTCAAGTGGAAATAAGGTTATTATTAGCTGCAAGTAGAAACATGACTCAGCACTGCAGACAAGGAAGCTGGCGAATGGTTGAGTCTCACTAAAAAGGAGCACTGCGTGGGCAACATTAAAAAACAGGGAAAGATTGTGTGAAAGAATTTCAGAAGGTGGGGAAGGCGTGGAGATCCTAGCTGCTCAAATAGCTACACCATCAACATACTTTATTGTGAATGTGTTTAATATGAGTATTAGTCATATTTAAAATTTCACCATAAGATGAAAATAACAAATTAGTTTTTTACCACTGGGTTAAAGTACTCATTGTCAGACAAGGGCTTTTGCGTTCTTCTCTCATTCACTCTCTTCTGCATCTGTTCTTTAACCCTTGTTTTCTCTCTTTTTTTTGTTATTTCATAAAATAAGTCACCCTTACTTTATGTCTATGCATTACTTGTTATTACCATGTAGACGTGTAATTTTGTTTCTGTTATTTCGTAATGTTGCTGAAAACTTCTTTCTCCCTTTACTCAACCCTTTTCTTCTTATTTTGCATACACAACATACCCTGATTATGTTGACATCCTTTCCGATACATAAAAGGACTCCTATATCTTTCATTTTCTTTCAGATTCATATTACTAATAAAGAATAATAATGGCAGATCCAAAAGTCACTGGTGGTGAGAATTTTAATTTCTTTTTTTTTTGTTCGTATTTGATTCTATGGTTTTAATTTTAGTTTATCGAGTTCATCCTTTTTATTATTTACATGTTCTTGATCAGAATACAAATGTAACTCGACTTGAAGTTGGTCCACAAACATTTGTTAAACAAGATCATGAAAAAGTTTTACTCGGACCAGAACGAATGTTAATAATTCCGTATGTTGAAATGCTTTTGATTTAATAAAAAAAAAAAAGAAACTATTTTTTGAATAATATCTAGTCCTCGACATTATTGTGTCATTGAAAATCCAGCTGTTCGTGATAGAAGTGGCAAAGTTATTAAGGACGCTAATGGTCAAGTTAAATTATTACATTCAGATGTTGATATTCGATTTTCTCAAGAACCATTTCCTCTTTATCCAGGTGAAATACGTAAACAAGATGTAACACCATTGAAAGTTATTGAACCTAATTGTGCATTACGTCTTCGTGCGGTTCTGGATTTTATTGATGATCAAGGTCAACAAATTCGTGCTGGAGATGAATTTCTTTTTTATGGACCAGGTAAAAAAAAAACACCAGTTTAAATTTTATTAATTAATAATAAAAATTTGAATTTATTTTTTCTAGGAACTTATATTCCACGTAAAGAAGTTGGCGTTGAAGAACAAATTAAAGCTGTTACTCTTAAATCAAATGAAGCTGTTCGTTTACGTGCTAAAAAAGAAATGATTGATCGTGATGGAATTCAACGAGAAACAGGTGAAGAATGGCTTAATCGTACTAATGGTTCATATTTACCATTAGCTTATGAGGAAGTTGTTACAACAGTTAAAGCCTATGTATTAACTGATAAAGTATGTTTATTTTAAAAATTGTTGTTTTGTTTTTTTCTTTTGATAATAGATTTATATTATTTTAGCAAGCTCTTCATGTTCGAGCTTTACGTACATTTGTTGATTCATTTAAACATAAACGTCTTCATGGAGAAGAATGGTTAGTATATGCTAGTGATAGTGAAGCATATATTCCAGATGTTTATGAAGAGGTAGATATATACATATATTTAATTCATAGATAAAAGATAATGAAGAAAATTTTTAGGTTGTTGGTGTTGTATCTGTAACTGTATTAAATTCACGTCAATATTGTGTTATTCTTGATCCAGTTGGTTCAGATGGTAAACCACAACTTGGAAGAAAAAAACTTGTTAAAGTATGATAAATACTAAGCTTATCGGATTTAATTGAATTAATCATTTATTTTTTTTTAAGGGAGAAAAAACATTCTTTCTTCAACCTGGTGAAAAATTAGCTAAAGGTATTCAAGATGTTTATGTTCTTGAAGAAGATGAAGGACTTATTCTTCGATGTACTGAATCATTTAAAGAAGATGGAGTAAGTTTATTCTTTAAAATTTTTTTTATCAATGATATATACTTTTTTTTTATTATAGAAAGAATTACGTAATCCTGGTGATCGTTGGATGATTCGAGGACCAAAAGATTATATTCCAGCTGTTGAAGCTGAAGTTGTACTTCGTCGTAAAGCTATTCCATTAGATGTTAATGAAGGAATTTATGTTCGAGATGTTAAAACTGGTAAAGTTCGATCGGTTATTGGTAGAACATATTTATTGACTGAAAATGAAGAACTTTGGGAAAAAGACTTACCTAAACAAGTTGAACAACTTCTTAATCAAGATCCTAGATGTTTTGATGATAAATCATCACAAACAGCAGCTGTACCACCAAGAGATAAATCAAAAGTTGTTACATATCGTGTTCCACATAATGCTTGCGTACAAATTTATGATTTTAAATCTAAAAAAGCACGAATTATATTTGGTCCTGAACTTGTTATGCTTGGACCAGATGAACAATTTACAATATTAAATTTATCTGGTGAAAAACCAAAAGTACCAAATAAAATTCGAGCTATTTGTCTTTTAATGGGACCAGAATTTTCAAGTGATGTTGTTACAATTGAATCAAGTGATCATGCTCGTCTTTCACTTAGACTTTCATATAATTGGCATTTCGAAGTAAGAATTGTAACATTTCAAAAAACAAACAAACAAACCTATTTTTTATTTATTTATTTATTTTTAGGTTAATAATCGTAATGATGAAAAAGAAGTTACTAAACTTTTTTCAGTACCAGATTTTATTGGTGATTTCTGTAAAGCTATAGCAGCTAAAATTCGTGGTACTGTTGCTAGTATTTCATTTGATGATTTTCATAAAAATTCAGCAAAAATTATTCGAACATCCGTATTTGGTCTTGATGAAAATAAAAAGGTGAAAAAAAGTCTTATTTTTCCACAAAACAATTTGGTTCTTACATCCATTGATATACAAAGTGTTGAACCGGTTGATCAACGAACACGAGATGCACTTCAAAAGAGTGTTCAATTAGCTATTGAAGTAAGACGAATTCTATTGATTTATTTTTATAATACATATAAATGAATTATTTAGATTACAACAAATTCACAAGAAGCTCAAGCAAAGTAAGTTGAATTGAAGGAAATATAAAAATACATAACATGGATTTTCTTTTCTCTAGACATTTGGCTTCACGAACAGAACAAGAAGCAAAAGGTCATTTAGAAAGACAAAAAATTGCTGACGAAGCCGAAGGTAGAATTTCATTTTATATGAAATTGAAATTTTATACTTTTAAATTTGTTTAGCCGAAAAGGAACGTCGAAATTTATTACAACTTCAAGCTGACTCAGCTGCTGTTGAATCTACTGGTCAATCACGTGCTGAAGCTCAATCACGAGCTGAAGCAGCTAAAATCGAGGGTGAATCTGCTGTTAATCAAGGTATATTATAGATTGAATATATTTCATCAATGATATAAATATACTTTTTCGTTTTTATAGCTACACTTCGTGCAAAAGCAGCAAAGATTGAGGCTGATATTGAACTATTACGTTTAACACAAGCACGTGAACTTGAATTGAATTATGCAAAAGTTACAACTGATTTAGAAATTGAAAAAGCAAAACGATTAGCTGATATTGAAATTGAAGAATTTAAACAACATGTTACTGCTATCGGTCCACAAACTATTAAAGCAATTGCTACAAGTGGACCAGATAATCAAGTAAGATTTGTTTTATTTTTGATAAGAATTCTTGTAAAGATTTAATTAATGTTTTGATTATGTAGGTTAAACTTCTTCAAGCTCTTGGTATTAAATCAACTTTGATTACTGATGGACGTAGCCCAATTAATCTTTTCAATACTGCTGTTGATTTAGTTGGCGCATCAACAAGCTCATAATACTATTTTGAAGAACAAATTAAAAGAATAAAAAAAAAACCTAATAAACTTTATATTCATATGTTCAGTTTAGACCCGAGATTAGTCAGATTTTTAGCATAAAAACACATGTTTTGTTATAAGAAGAAACATAAGACTATGTTTGATATTTATTTTTTTTAATGTATCTGTGTGATATCTAAAAAATCAAACTTTTACAATCGAAATAAAATAATTTAAAAAATTTTTTATATACCTGTTATTTTTATTGATAACAATAATTGACTTAAATTCAATCAATATTTTTCAGAATTCAACTTTTGCAATAAAATGAAGTGAAAGCAATATTTCATATGTCAAACTATTCGATAAACTTACTAAAATCCGTTTGAGTTAGATGATAGAGGATGTGGATGGGTGTGTCAGGTGTGGGTGGGTGTGTCAGGTGTGAGTAGGTGTGTCGGGTATGAGTATGGACGTGGGTGTGCAGAGGTGAATGTGCATCTGCGAGAAGATTCCACTAACGATCACACCCACACTCACAGCTGGACCAGCATCACTAGAAAAGTGGTTGCCGGGACAGGATCGGGACAGAGATTTAAAACACTTGGCCCCACACATTTCTAGATTGACGAAGCTACAAGGCTTGGGTAGGCCTAAGCCTTCCTTAGATTCGCGGCGTGTGAACTTGGATAAGCTCAAGAAATATTTCTCATTTCATCAGATTGATAGATATGAGCAACGGTTACATGTCTAGTAAACGTTTTCAACAGTTAACAAACTGATAATTTAATATTTTTGTTGTTTTTGTGAACATTCCTGCTTTGTAATTTAACTCTTTTTCAGTAAAGTAGATCAGAAACTCTTCTTTTGAAGGTTGCATTTCAATGAACATCAATGTTCGTATATTTTTTAACGCTAGTTACAAAATTTTTTCTAATCTGCATCACTATTGTACACTGCAAAATGTAAGTTCGAAAAAAGAAATACGAACTGATCTCATATCTGTACTGTACTATCATATACAGAAGACTATCAAGATTTTTCTTTGTGGTATCTATTCGATCCCTTTTATTTATCTATTAACAATATAGAACATATTTTAACTGTACTAAAACAACCATAGTTGTGAAAAGTTAGTCTTAATCCTGCCGAATAAATAAAAATAGTTGGCATATCGGAAATCTTATACGATCAAATTAATTTTATTTATTTGAATAGGAGAACGACAATAAATTTTAGGAGTATTCACGAGCAATAAGAAGGAAAAACAACGAACTTTTCAAATTAAGATAAAACATCTACGGCTGCGGCTGCTTTTAACCACTTATAAATACATTTATATGACACTAGGAAGAAGAAAAATAACTCGGTAATGCAAATTTCTTTTTTTGGTATGAAAACCATCTTAGTTTATTGTTCATACATGAGCTACAAAATAATTAAAGTGACATTGTGGAATAAAATTAATAATATGAAAACACAAAAGGACGGACAATGTTATTATTAGTTTTTCCTCTTGACATAAGAGTCAAGTTTGATCTAATCATTCTCCTCAACATGATAACCACTAGGACTCTTAGAATTTTTTATTGCAGTTGAAGTTAAACCACCTAAAAGTCCTTGTCCAAAACCCATTAGATTAATAGGTGTACGTCCATCAGTAACCAACATTGATTGAAGACCAAGTGCTTGTAAAAGTTTAACTTGTGTATCTGGACCTGAAGTAGCAATTGATTGAATTGTCGATGCACCAATAGATTCAACTTGTAATTTAAATTTTTCAGTTTCAATTCTTGACATTTCACTTTTCTTTGATATTTCTAATTCATTTTGTTCACGTAAAAATTTTATTTCAGCTTCACGTGCTAATTGTAAACGTGATAATTCAGCTTCAGCTTCAATTTGTGTAGCTTTAGCTTTGAGACCAGCTAATTAAATAAAAGAAAGAAACAATTAAATTTTTTTTGTAAACAATATCATTATTCATTACCTTGTTCAACAGCTGCTTCTCCTTCAATTCGAGCTGATTCAGCACGGCTTTGTGCTTCAGCTTTAGCTTGACCTGTTGATTCAACAGCAGCTGATAAAGCTTGTAAGTCAAGAAGTTGTCTTCGAACTTCTTCAGCATTAGCTTCATCTTTAATACGTTGTCGTTCTAATAATCCTTTAGCTTCTTGTTCTCGACGTGAAGCTTCATGTTTAGCAGCTGCTTCTTGTGAATTTGTTGTAATCTAAATAATTCATTCATATGTATTATAAAAATAAATCAATAGGGTTCGTCTTACTTCAATAGCTAATTGAACACTCTTTTGAAGTGCATCTCGTGTTCGTTGATCAACTGGTTCAACACTTTGTATATCAATGGATGTAATAACAAGATTATTTTGTGGAAAAATAAATTTATCTCTTATATGTTGATTAGCGTCAAGACCAAATACTGATGCACGAATAATTTGAGCTGAATTTTTATGAAAATCATCAAATTGTGTACCAGCAACAGCACCACGAATACGTGAAGCTATAGCTTTAGCTGCATCACCAACAAAATCTGGCACTGAAAAAAGTTTTGCTGCTTCTTTTTCATCAGTCGTATCGGATATTTGAAAATGCCAATTATATGAAAGTTGTAATGAAAGACGAGCATGATCAGCTGTTTCAATAACAATAACATCAGTAAAAAAATCTGGTCCAAGAAGTAAACAAAGTGTTTGAATTTGATTAGGTTTTTTCGGTACACTACCACTTAATGAAAGTAATGTAAAATGTTCATCTGGTCCAAGCAAAACAAGTTCAGGACCAAATATAATACGTGCGTTTTTAGCTTTATAATCATAGATTTGTACACAAGCATTATGTGGAACACGATATGTAATTAATTTTGATTTATCACGTTTAGCAAGATTTGTATTTGACGTTGTTGTTTGTTGTTGAGATTTAGATTTATCTGATGTTTGATTGCGTGTTAGAACATTTCGTTCACTTAATGCATCACGTGATAATAGTTCCTCAACTTGTTTAGGTAATTCTTTTTGCCATAATTCTTCATCTTGTGTTAACATATATGTTTCACCAATGACTGCTCGTACACAACCAGTTTTTATATCACGAACATATATACCTTCATTTTCATCTAATGGAATTGCTTTTTGACGTGTAACAACTTCAACTTGTGTTGGGGGAATATATTCACTAAAATTTATATTAATAATTTAAAATTTTATTCAAAAATAAATCTCTTACGTTGGGCCACGAATCATCCATCTATCACCGGGATTTCGATTAACCTTAGCTTGTTCATCTTTAAATGCTTCAATACATTTAAGTATAACACCTTCATCTTCACCTAATATAAAAACATCTTGAATTCCATTTTCAAGTTTTTCACCAGGTTGAAGAAAGAATGATTTTTCACCCACGACAAGTTTCTAGAGAAAAAAATTTCAATAATTAAATTTTCCCTATATAAAAAAACCATTATATGTGACATACTTTTTTTCCTAATTGTGGTTTTCCATCAGCAACTGGATCAAGTATAACACAATATTGACGAGAAGTCAATGTTATTACATTGACAACATTAACTAATTCTTCATATACACTAAGAATATGTGTTTCAGTGTCAGCAAGAGTTACAAGCCATTCTTCACCATTCATACGTTGTTTATCAAAATTATCTGTAAAAGTTCTTAATGCACGAAGATGAAGAGCTTTTTTATCGGTTAATACATAAGCATTTTCTACAGAAACAACAGTTTCCTAAAAAATTACAAAATTTTTAATTAAAATATGCGAATAAAATTTGAACTTACATATGCAAGAGGTAAATAAGCACCAGTTTTTTTAACTAACCATTCTTCACCAGTAACACGATGTTGACCTGCACGATCAATAATTTCTTTTTTTGCACAAAGTCTTATAGCTTGATTAGAACCAATAACTGTAGCTCGAATTTGTTCCTCAACACTAACTTCTTTACGAGGAATATAAGTAGCTGGACCTTCAAATAACCATTCATCACCAGCACGACGTTGTTCATGTGTTGTTTCATCTTCAAAATCGAGTACAGCTTTTAGACGTAATGCTGAATTAGCAGGAACAACTTTTAATGGAGTCACAGGCTGAATAAAACAAAAAGAATTCGATCAAATTAGTTTTATTTTGTTAATTGAAAAAAAAATTTAATTTTATACCTGACGAAGAATTTCACCGGGATAAAGAGGAAATGGTGCTTGATCAGGTTGAGCAAGACGAATATCCAAATCAGCATGAATAAGTTTTGCCTGTCCATTTTTATCAAATTGAACTTCTCCAGCTTCATTACGTACTACAGGTGACTCAATAACACAATAATGGCGTGGTCTAAAATATTCGAATCATTATATCCTTTATTTAGTTGTTTCTTTTTTTTTTTATATATAAAAAAATTCACGTACGGTACTGTAATCATCTTTTCTGGTCCAATAGTGACTGTTTCATTATCTTGTTTAATAAATGTTTTTGGACCAATTTCAAGTCGTGTAACATTTGTATTTTGATCCAAAACATGAATATAATAATGAGGAGGAATTCGATAAAGGGGACCAGAACCACTTTTATTATCACTCGTAGCTGTTGTTTTACTCATCGTATGTTCGTAACTGTTGGTTTGCTAGTAACAATCTAGACAAAAAGAATGTTGATGTGCTTTTATAAATGGAGAAAATAAAGAATATGGTATTGCATGTTAAATGATTAAGTATTTTTCAAACTATTGTGTAAGTTTGCCCCATGAAAGAGAAAGGAAGAGAAAAAAATATGCAAGACAAAATCTATGTTTCACTCTCTTGTATCCCTTGATGTTCTTGCACAATTTTGCATTTTTTTTTCAAGTTGTTTGCTTATCACGATAGCGATAGTATAGGAAGAGGTAAATATTTTCTCAAGTCTGATTCATAACGGGAAAGAGAATTGCATTCGAAGGGGAAATTTATGAATTACTCATGTCGGTAAAGTTTTTTGACAACTACATATCATTGTGAAATAAAGAAAATTTCAAAACAATTTGTAATTAAAAAACAAAAAGTTCTTGATGTTTAGCCTATGTAGGTTAAAATTAAAGAAAATCTAGCAAATCTAGAGATGCAGTGTGTGAAGGTCAATTTGACATTTTATTTAAAAAAAAATTGATTAAAAACCCATAGGCGAATATTGTTTAATGATATTCAAGTTAATGTGTATGAAAAAAACATTATAATATACGCGAGTCGTTCAAAACATTCTGAGACTAATTTTATTTAAAAACGATAAAAAGTAATGCTGTAGATATTGTTGTCTGTGCGTAGTTCACATAGTCCTCCATCTATAGACGTCATAAACTCTAATCGATTAAACAATTTTGCCCAGATATAGCAATACTTTTAACATTCATAGAAAATTATAAAATTTGAATATCTTTCAATGCTAAAGTTTCTGGCACTGGAAGACCAATTCGCATCCAATATCCATAAATTTATGATGATAATTCATGGTGGCCAACATTCCATCACACATTATATTAAACAGTTGAAAGCTTATTCATAGAAAAGCTTCAAACTGCAGTTCAACAAATAGCGAACACTTTTAGCATTTCAAATGCATGGTACATGGCATTTTACATGATCGATTACATATGATTAAAATCTGTTCAAGATGAATATCACATTTGATAGCCCATGAAAAACGATACGTTGTTCATATATCAATGCTTACTTATTAATCTTTACAACGACAAGTCCGTTCAAAAACCTATAATGGGATGATAGAGCATTATTACTATAAACTAATACCATGCATTCTTAAGTATTGGATAAGAATTCATCATCCAAAACACAATATTTTGCTCAAATTTTTGGTTTTCTATAAGTGTATATGAGATGATCTGAAAAGTATTGCCAGAGTTAAGATATGCGATAGCAATATACGTATAGTATAGATCATGATGAAAAACATAAACGAACATTTTAAATTGATAATTAGGTTTGATTTATTAATATATAAAATAAATAAATAAAAAATTAATTAACTCTCTTTAGTATGATGGATTTGTCTTCAGAATATCGAATTCTAACCGATTTCTAGCAAAAGTTATTATTCACTTTTTGTTTAATTAATTTTCACTATCAATCTGAAAAAACTATATATTAATCTGAATGGATATTTCATCTAAAATTTAGAATATGAAATTGAACGAATTATTGTTTTTATGTTTAACTAAAAATATTTAATCTTACTCGAGAAATGAATAGTTGAAAATGAAAAGTCGTTTTTCTATTCTTAAAATAACCATTTTTTAAAGCAGAATGAATGCATTATCAGAAAAGAATGAAGGATAAAATAGATAAATCGTTCAAATAGTTCTTCCCTATTTTTCATTTAATTATAACGTTTTTCTTTTTTTTACACAATTTTACTCGATTTCCGTACATACTAGTGCATAGATGTTTTGTTAAATGTTCTGCCAAAAACCGAGGATGGGTACTACATTAAGTACTCGTACTTTCGCCTCTGAGTAGATCTTACAATAGAGGTGTTTGTATTGTCAGTTGAAAAGACTGGACATATTCGGGTCAAAATAAAACTCACACTGTCAAAACAACAAATTTAGAATATTAGCGACCTTTGGCATGCGTCGAGGAAGATATTCGAATTTTATGTTATTCGCAGTTTTGAGTATATAGGAACGTTAGAATTATTTACATTAATTTTTAATATAATCAACTGACGAGGGTACATTTCCAAGTATTGGAGCACTTTTCAACTGAGACTGTCTATATCTTGCAGATGTTAATGAACGATGTCTACTATAAAAAGAGTTTGGATGTATAGCTTGTTCCTGTAGAGATCGAACGGATGTGGGTGTGGGTATGGATGTGGATGTGGTCGTGGGCGGGTGGTGTGGATGTAAATGAATGCAGACTGAGCTAAGACTGATATTCACACACCTACACACCCACATCCAGTATAGTGAAAATAGCTACTAGCCAGTGATGCAGTTCGTTTCCAGGATTTTTCCGGAATTTTAATTCAAATTTTAGTTTGTTATTTTGCAGAGCATATCATCATCTATCTTCGTGGATGCGCCATTGAATCTTTGTCGAGATATTTGACATTTTGTAGCACAACACCGTGTTCCTTCTCAGACCCATCTGAAAAATCAACTTTCAAATTTCGACTTGAAACTTTATGCAACGAAAAGTCTCAATGAGACTAGTTAATCCTGAAAGTTTCAAATTTCTTCGTTGCTCCTATCCTTAAATATAAACATTTAACATTTGGTGCTATAAGTGATATGAAAAAGAATATTTTTTCCTTATACTCGTATCTCGCGATAGGAGGAACTCAAAAATCCAAAACTTTCAGAATAAACTAGTCTAACTGAGACCTTTCTCTGGCCAAAGTTTCAAGTAGAAATTCGAAAATTGATTTTTCGGGTGAACCTGAGGAAGACCACAGCTTTTTCCTAAAAAATGCCATAACAGTTAAATATCTTGACAGAAATAAGCTATAAGCATGAACTTTTTTCAGGATGTTCATAGCTCATTAGGGCCTACATAACGCGCATAGTCTCGATTCAAAAGCGATTTGACAACTGTAAATTGCTCTCGATCCCCTTTTGCTGTCTACTATGCCACATCCACACACCCATACCCACTGTGAAACACGCTTCGAATGACTAGTCCGAATGAAAATAACAAAGACTTCAGTCTTGAAGTCTTATGAATACTGTAAACCATAGCTTTTGTAAAACATAACCAAAAACGAGTGTTGAAGTATAGGGTAGAATGAGAAATCCCTCACAGATTTGATAGAAATCTTAGCAACAAGTCATTACAGACATACGAGGAACCGCAGATCACAGACTGTTTATAAATAATAGCTCGTTTTAATATATGAACTACTTCCTCATTGCATTTTTGAAGAATTAAGTGGAATAATGGTTAAGAAATATGTCACAAAATAGATAAAATAAAACAATTTCGCTTTGATTAGCAGCAGCAGCTACATCGTGTTTTGCATTTCAATCCCTCAGGCGTTGCGCTAATAGCTTTTAAAATATGTTAGTCCCATAAAGTCTCGAAATCTGATGTTTTCTTCTCGAACTATTACCGGAATTTTAAAAAAAGGCTATCGGGAAAAATGCTTATAACTTTTGAACGAAGACAGCTAGAGCCCTGCAGTTTTCATCATTCGAAAGGGGAGACAAGGGGACGTCTCTTTCTCCAATATTGTATAGGACAAAATCATTTAAAAATCAGTTACTTCTACAAAACATCGAAAAAATGCATAAAAAACGGTCTGCCATTCAGATGAAACTTTGACGAAAAGTAAGAAAATATGCTTAAAAATTAAAAGAACTCTATAGTTTTCGTACGATTGAATAGACAAGTTTATTTGTTCAACATTAGGAGGTGGATAGATAATCATTCGAATTATATCTTGAACTATACATCTGAGGTTCCTCTATTTAGATCAAATGTCAGAACCAAAATATCATTGGAATGACAGATCGTTTTCATGCATTTTTTTCATGTTTTGTAGAAATGACTGATTTTTAAATGATTTTGTCCTATACAATATTGGAGAAAAAGGCGTCCCCTTTTCTCCCCTTTCGAATGATGAAAAACTGCAAGGCTCTAGCTATCTTCGTTCAAAAGTTATAAGCATTTTGTCCGATAGCCTTTTTTTAAAATTTCTATAATAGTCCTGAAGCGCCTTACCAGAGTTCATTTTAGTCGTCACGCTGACGTTATTCGTTCAATATTAAGCAAAACTGAAGAGTTGAATTTTATCGAACTATAATATACTATGATCATAATATATTGTCTATGCCTGTTTCTCTTCTTTTATTACAAACGTTTTCATTTACCAGTGTATAAGCTCTATCAAACTTTCATCAAATTCTCAAATAAGCACAAAAAAAAATACCAATAATCTACTACTGTAATTTGAAAAAATGTCTATATTTTTATTTTCAAATATACGTTAGACAACGAAAAAAAAACGAAAAAGAAGCACACCAACAATTACACACATATGAACACAAGTTATAGACAAAACAAAAAAAGACGAGATTGAACAAATACAATACAGAAACATTAACGACAAAAACAGAATATTCAGATAATATTTCATACGTTTTTTTTTTCTTAATGTGTTTTCTAGATACACAATCATACAAAAAAAAACAAACTAAGCGTATTATTTAAATGTTATACAAACAAACGATGATTAATAATACAATACACATCAAAACGAATTTATTCAATATGAACAAATCGAAATGATGAAAATATAATAAAGTTTAAACAATAATACAATTAGTTTTCTTTTTTTAGGCAGCTGTTGGTGCAACACTTTGCATGTCACCATGAACACGAAATCTATATAAACATGTATAATTTGGATTACCCCAATTTGATGTTACTTGTATTTCGATATATTCAACAACGGGTACATTGGAAATCTAAAATATAATAAAAGTAAATTTCATTTCATTAAAACAAAAAAATGAAATACATACTTGAGGTTTAAATCGTTGAAGTGCTGGACCATTTTCAGCATCATAATAATATCGACCAAGAACCATACCTTCTTTATCATGTTTAT